GAAGCAGGAAGATCTAAAATTGGCCTCTAACATCACAATTAAAAGAACTAGAGAAGCAAGAGCAAACTCATTCAAAAGCTAGCAGAAGGCAAGAAATAACTAAGATCAGAGCCAGAACTGAAGGAGATAAGACACAAAACCCTCTCCAAAATCAATGAATCCAGGAGTTGGTTTTGAAAGATCAACAAAGGTGGCAGACCACTAGCAAGACTAATAAAGGAAAGAAGAGAAGAGATCAAATCGCGCAATTAAAATGATAAAGGGGATATCACCATAAACCACAGAATACAAACTACCATCAGAATACTATAAACACACTCTCATGAATGAAACTGGAAAATCTGAAAATGGATAATTTCCTGGACATACACTCTTAGACTAAACCCAGGGAAGAAGTTAGATCCCTGAATAGACCAATGGTAGGCTCTAGAGGTGAGGCAATAATTAATAGCCTGGCAAAAGTCAGGACCAGATGGATTCACATTTCAGATCTACCCAGATACAGAGGAGCTGGTACCATTCATTCACAGAACTATTCCAATCAATAGAAAAGAGGGAATCCTCCTAGCTCATTTTATAGAGGTATTAGCATCATCCTATGATACAGAAGCCTGGCAGCAACACAGCAAAAAGAGAATTTTAGGCCAATATCACAGTGAACATGGTAAAAAAATCCTCAATAAAATGCTGGCAAACGGATTCAGCAGCATCAAAAAACATCCACCATGATCAAGTGGAAAGCCCCATCCCTGGGATGCAAGGCTGGTTCCAACATTCGCAAATCCAATACGACATAATCCAGCATAGAAACAGAACCAAAGACAGAACCATCATTGCTCAATAGATGCAGAAAGGCTTGACAAGAGTTAACTTGACCTTCATGCTAAAAACGCTCAATAAATTCGGTATTGATGAGACATGCCTCAAAATAATAAGAGCTATTGCAATGAGCCACAGCCAATATCATACTGAATACGATAAAAACTGAGAAAAAAATTCCTTCAAGAAACTGGCACAAGACAGGGATGCCCTCTCTCACCACTCCTAACTTCAACATGAGTATTTGGAAGTTTCTGGCTAGGGCAATCAGGCAGAGAAAGAAATCAAGGGGATTCAGTTAGGAAAAGAAGAAATCAAACTGTCCCTGTTTGCAGATGACATGATTGTATATTTAGAAAACCCCATTGTCTCAGCCCAAAATCTCCTTAGCTATTAAACAGCAGCAAAGTCTCAGGATACAAAATTAATGTGCAAAAATCCACAAGCATTCTATACACAGTGACAGTCAAGCAGAGAGAGCCAAATCAGGAATGAACATTCCCCAATTGCTTCAAGAGAATAAAATGCCTAGGAATCCAACTTACAAGGGATGTAAAGGACCTCTTTAAGAGAACTACAGCTTCACTGCTCAGTGGAAATGAGAGGACACAGAGCAAATGGAAAGACATACCATGCTCATGGATAGGAAGAATCAATATTGTGAAAATGGCCATACTGCCCAGGTAATTTTATAAGATTAATGCCCATCCCCATCAAGCTACCAATGGCTTCTTCACAGGTGGAAAAGAAACTGCTTTACAAAGTTCATGGAGACCCAAAAGAGCCACATCTCCCAAGACAGTAAGTCAGAAAGACAAAGGCTGGGCATCCATACCTGACTTAGAGCTGTACTACAGAGGCCTACAGTAGCAAAACAGCATAGTACTGGTACCACGACAGAGATGAATAGTAGGACAGACAGAGTCCTCAGAGAGGAATATGTCCCCACATCTACAGCCCATCTGATCTTTTGGCTAGGCCTAGGAGAGAGCAAGGAATGGGAAAAGATTCCTATTTAATAAATAGTGCTAGGAAAATTGGCTAGCCATAAGTGCAGCTGAAACTGGATCCTTTTCCATGCACTCCTTATCCCGAAAATTAATTCCAAGATGGATTAGAGACTTAAATATTAGACCCTATACCATAAAATCCTGAAGGAAAGCCTACAGGTAGTACCATTCAGGACATAGGCATGACCAAGACTTCATATCACAAAACCACCCAAGCTCAAGCCTTAAAAAAGAAGCCAAAATTGACAAATGGATCTCATCAAACTAAAAAAGAGCTGCACAGCCAAAGAAACTGCATCAGAGTAGGCAGACCCAGCCTACAGAGATGGGAGAAAATTTTTGCAATCTACTCATCCTGACAAAGGGCTAATGTCAGACCTACAGGAAACTCAAATGAAATTTTAAGAAAAAAACAAACAACCCCGTAAAAGTAGAAGCAAAGATGTAGACAGACATTTCTCAAAAGACATTCATACAGCCCAGCAATTTGTGAAAAGTGTCTGTCATCACTGTACATCAGAAATGCAATCAAAACCACAATGAGATACCATCTCACACCAGTTAGAATGGCGATCATTCAAAAGTCAGGAAACAACAGGTGCAGGAGAGGATGTGGAGAAATAGGAACACTTTTACACTGTTGGTGGGATTATAAACTAGTTCAACCATTAGAAACAGTATGCAAGCGATTCCTCAAGGATCTAGAACTAGATGTACCATATATGCTTCATCCCATTACAATGGTATATGCCCAAAGGATTATAAATTATGCTGCTATAAAGACACATGCCACGTATATTTGTTACCTTTTTCTTCATGCTGTAAAGACTTGAATCAACCCCAATGTCCATCAGTGACAGATTGGATTAAGAAAATGTGGCTTATATACACCTTAGAGATACTATTGCAGCCATAAAAGGATGAAGTTTGTGCCTTTTATAGGACATGGGATGCAGCTGGGGCTCATCATTCTCAATAGGCTTCTCAAGAACAGAAAACCAAACACCGCATGCTTTCTCACTCATGAGGCGGGGCTGGAGCAAATGAGATCGCCCGGGCCAGGAGAGGCATCACGGGGCCTATCATGGAGAGGAGGGAGGTTGGCATTGGGAGTTATACCTGATGTAAATGACGAGTTAGTGGGTGCAGCACCCAACATGGCACAGAGTATACATGTATCAAACCTACACGTTGTACATATGCCCCTATAACCCAGAGTTTAATAATAAATAAATTAAAAAAAAAAAATAGCAAGCGTGGTAGTGCATGTCTGTAATCTTTTTTTTTTTTTTTTTTTTTTGTATTTTTAGTAGAGATGGGGTTTCACAGTGTTCGCCAGGATGATCTCGATCTCCTGCCCTTGTGATCTGCCTGCCTCAGCCTCCCAAAATGCTGGGATTACAGGCGTGAGCCACCACGCCCAGCTGAAAGAGTATTATTTTAGAAGAATAATGTGTAACAAGGATATCACCTCAATTTAAACTGGGATTTTAAATTTTGGTGTGTGTTTGATTAAAAGGTGCATCTAAAAGTTCAAAGAGGTGATTTGAGTGAAATAATTTACATAGTAGGAAAGTGTCTTCAAATAAAAGGGTGTGTGGGGGTAGAGATGTAAAAGGATATAAATGGACGAGAGGCTGTCTCTTTTACTGATGGGTCTTATGGTCTCGGTCTGAACCTAGATGGAGGCAGGGGCTGCAGGAGGACACTGAAGATTCCTTTTTCCCAGGCACAGAGGCACCTATCATGTGGCTTAGGGGCCAAAGTGATGAAGCAGGATACAGGTTAGGGAAGAGCACCATTTTCACTGTATCTGGAGATAACACAGCCTGGTTCTGAAATGATAAATGTTGTTTCAGCTTGAGGGTTTGCACTTTAGGTTTGCACCAGGATAGGTGTTGGTACTATGAACAGGGAGCTAATGTTAAGAATCACTCTCAAGTGTCTCTGCTAGCCCTCCACAAGAGATGCCAGGCAGAAAGATCTGGGAGGAGTGCTTGCCAACTCTGTTCTATGTATTTGGGGACTACAGAAATATATAAATGAGACTCTGCAATTATACATAGGGTCATGAGATTGAGCTATGCTGTATTGTGGTTCTGTTTGTAAGCACAGGGTGGTGAGGCCTGGGGTAAATGGGGATCACACTAAAAAAGTAGTATGTTTCAGAACAACTGATGAAACGTATTTTAAAATGACCCATGCCCATGCCCCACCTCCAGAGATTCTGATTTAGAAAGCCTAGGGTGGCATCGTGGCAGCTGTGTGGTGCCAGAGCTCCATGAGTAGTTCCAATGCTTATGCTTGGTTAAAAACCACTGCATTTAATTTACCAGAGTTGAGTCAGAGGTGGAAATGGCTAGCAAAGAAGAAGAAATTTAGATTTTTGGAGGTATTTCCCTTTTCGACTTTGTTTTATATTCTTGTCTCCTTCTCCCTAGCTTTCCACATTCCTATTAAAATAGCTTCCTTTCCCTACTGTTGGTTTTCTTAATTCCTCACTGAAACTTTCTCCGAAGGAGAATTACAGGAAGATTCAGCCAACCTTAGACTCTTCATACTTGGACTCAGTTGAAAAGAAAAATTAATAATGCAAACATCCTTTTTTCTTTCATAGAAGAAAATGGCTCACAATCTTATTTTGTTTGATCAGCTCAATGCTAAATAATTGTGTGAATATTTTTCTTGAAACATCCCCTCTCTTCCACTACTATTTCCACAGCTCACTCTACTGTTATTTTTTGCTTAAAAGTTATCAATGGAATTTAGACATCAAAGCACCTTCAGCTTTATTTCTCCAGTCTGGCTCCACAGGCTGCAAAAATAATTCTCCAGAATTGTAAGCCACAAAAATGACCCCTCACCAAACACACCTTAGTCCATTCCTATGTAAACTAGGGAAGTATGTCATTCTTTTGTAGAATCTATATCTAGAGTATTAAAAATAAGCTGGGTTAGTGAGTTAATTCTTGTTCAATGATTCTTTTATTTTTCAATGTTATTCGCCATTTTCAATGCAATGGCATGCTTGCTTTCTTGAAATAAAGCTGAACTACAATAACTGTAACAATTTTTTTAGTGCAACATTTCAAAAGTCCATTCTATTAACTGAGACAACAGAGGTCAAATTCACATCAGGAATTAAACATATCTTTCTCCATTTACTCCCAGGAATGAGAAAGAACAGATCAGTGTTCAGTTTGAAAGAGCCATAATTCAGCAGTCTTTCTATATTACCTCTCAGAGGAAGGAGCCTGTGTGTCTAAAGAGAGAAGTGAAGTTTAAGTACTGGAAAAAAGGAAAGTCTTCAGCCTTGGGAATGTAATAACCTGGGGTCAGCTGAGAACCCTGAGGAAGACTGACCCAATCAGCTGCTGGGAGAAGCAACATAACTGCTCTGCTGGAGGGAGAAACAAATTCTAATCAGATATGAGTCAGCCATCCCGGGAGCTTCTGTTATCATGAGAAAAGGAAGTGCTCTTCCTTTCAACTGGAAAACTAGAATGTGCCACTTTTTTTTATTGTTAATGCTCCTTCTTTTCTTTTTTATTTGTTTTGTAATAAAAATTTAACTTAAAAGTTGATATGCAAACAAGAAGTGTGTAACAATCTGAATATTTAACATTGATAGATTTATCTATTTTAAAAAATTAAAGAGAATATATTAGAATTTAATGTTTACTGCACACAAGATGAAACAGAAACTAAACTTCGTTACATTTTTTAAAAATTCTTTAACTTATTCAGTTTGGATTTATTATTTGTAAAGTGAAAAGAAATTCTTTTTCTCCAAAATGTTTGTCCTTTACTAACTTTAGAAAATTGATTTCACTATTCCAAGTTTCAGCTTTTTATTCAGAAATTAAGAAATATGTAAGTATGTGTCTATTATTACTATAGGTCGCTTCTCGGGCTTTTGGCTAAGATCCAGTGTATTATTATAGAATGGGTTCTCAGATAAAGAAAAAAACTAAGAATTTTCTCAGGTTTTTGGGACTATTTCATTATAAAAACAAAAACTATATATGATTAAATTGATATTACCTTTTTGATGGACTCACTTGAAAAAGAGTGACAAGATGCAATTTCAGGAGTTTTATGGGCCAATGTTAAGGCTAGGTGTACATTTTCTATTTTGAAATCTGTTGTCTTTGTGGTACCCAGAATATGTAGTGAGGTAAATAGATATCACCTTAAGAAACAGAAAAAAGAAAGAATAAAAAGAAACACTTTGTTTCTTAATGCTTATTAACTAAAAATGCAAAATTTATTCACATTTTTCAATGGGGGGTCATATGGTTTGACACATCAAATAGCACATAATAGTGGTAACACCAAAGGGAGGCTTGAGCACCTCTTTTAGTGCCCTGCCTCTTCCTACAGCCACTCCACAAGATTTCATAATATTTTTCCATCAAGACAATTGACATTTCTATAATTATATAGAAATTATCTTTTGAAACATTTCTATTTTCATTGATCTGTGAGTCGTGGTCTAATTAAAAACAAGTTAGACACGTTCCTGAACTTTCCCGCCCTCTACTTTCTTCTGCCACTACATTTCTCCATGTGAACATGAGATTCCAGCAAATACTTCAGTGAATAAGGAAACATAAATTTGAGTGTTTATTGTCTTCGAATAAAGCAAAAAGAATAGTGCCAGTGTATTATAAACACTCATACTTTCATGCAAACAAACTCCTTACTGAAGGAAAAGGGACAAAGATCATTTCTGGAGAACAGAAAGACTCAAATTAAATAATTTTATTGTCCATGTTCCACAGTTGATTGCATGAAGTCATATCATTATAACTAAGCTTTTATTCTATCATTTTTATGTGTGTTTCATAGAAAAGCTATATAAGAAAATATAGAAATGAGGGAGATTGTCTATGGATTATTATTATTTTTTAAAAATTCTCAAATTGGCGGCTGGGTGTTGTGGCTCACGCCTGTAATCCCAGCACTTTGGGAGGCCAAGGTCGGCGGATCACCTGAGGTCGGAAGTTCGAGACCAGCCTGACCAACATGGAGAAACCCCGTCTCTACTAAAAATACAAAATTAACCAGGCGTGGTGGTGCATGCCTGTAATCCCAGCTATTCGGGAGGCTGAGGCAGGAGAATCGCTTGAACCCAGGAGGTGAAGGTTGCGGTGAGCCAGGATTGCGCCATTGCAGCTTAGCCTAGGCAACAAGAGTGAAACTCTATCTCAAAAAAAAAAAAAAAAAAAAATTCTCGAATTGTTTTGGGTTTTGAGAGTTTCTATCTACCACTGACTTCTACACATCTAAACCTCACACATGCAGCCTGGTCAACATAGTAAGACCCCGTCTCTACAAAAATAATTTTTTTTTTTTAATTAGCCGGGGGTGGTGGTGCACACCTATAATCCTAGCTACTTGGGAGGCTGAAGCAGGAGGATTGCTTCAGCCCAGAGAACTATAATTGCACCACTGCACTCCAGTCCACGATCACACCACTATCACCTAGCTTGGTGATAGAGCAAAACTCTGTCTCTAAGAAATAAAATAAATAAATGAATCAATAAACAAACAAACCTCACACATATCAGGACTGGAGGAAAAGCAGAGTACATTTTTTTGATTTCAGAGACTGGTAGATAGGAGTAATCAAGCAGATATTATCCTAAGGAAATACTTATTCTGTTTAAAATTTTCTTTTACAGTTATTTGACAAGAAATCTTAGAGTCCTCACTTTCTGGGAGCTCAGAGAAAGGTAAGAGCCTTAGCTGAATTTCAGTCTTTCAATTGTGTCCTTATTGTGGGTAATAAGGACACAATTGAGGTTGAAATGCCCGTCTGAGATATCCCTTGAGATACAGCTTTAATTTCTGTTTCATCAAAAACATATTAAGAAGTCACAATGTGCAAAACATTGTAGTTTGGGGATGGATAGAAAGAGGAATTAGACATGGCTTCTGGTTAAAAGGAGATTTTAATCTGGCGAGGAGATTGGAGAGTACACAATGAGATTTAGGGAGTGAATGAAACAGAAGTTGTGGGGAAAATGCTGAAGGTTGTCTAAGTAGCCAAGGCTGCAGCTTGTGGTTCTGATAGGCGAAATGTTATTGTTGGGGATGTCTTTTAATCCCTCTGTTTGCTGAGTGACCTGGGAGCTACACTGCCTAGGTCTGACGGGGAGACTTGTAAATAAATCCCACCTGAATTGGGAATCAATAGCACCCATTTGTCTGCGCAAATATCAAGTACTTTTACAATATCTGTAGTCTCAGTGGTTCTTAAACCTTGGAACAGTGTGTATCTTTTAGAAAATGTGAATACACTAAGATCTTTTCTCATAGAAGGGGACAAAAAAACACATGAACAATTTCAAGGACTTCTTCCTAAAGTCCTTAGGCAAATCATCTAATCTCTCTGTGTCTCAGTTTCTCAATCTGTAAAATCAGAGTGATAATACCTGCTTTAGTAAGTAGTGGGGAGAATTAAATGAGAGAATTATGGAAAGTATCTAGCACAGATCCCAGGGCAAATTTGTGATAAATGACAGTCATTATTATATTCTTTCTTTCTTCCTTTTTACTATGAGACTGTGCTGTTTCCTTGACTGTGACTGATCCTATCACAGAGACAAGGCTGGGGAGTCAGATAAGAGACTGGTCACCAAGGAAGGCAAATGAAATAAAGGTGATAGATGAACTTCATGCCCAGCCAAAAATATGATAGAATTAGGAAATCTGAAAACTTTTACAGGAAGTTATCTGGGGAAATGACTAGGAGAATATGTAGAATAACTACGAAGATGCTGTTTTAATTGTAGCTATTTTATGGATTTAACATCATACTAATGCTAATGGTATTAATTTCCAAATCAATGGCAAATGCACACTTACAGAGAGTTTATTATATGCCAGGCTTTGTACTTAGCTTGGCTTACGTAGGTCACCTTCTTTAATTCTCATAATATAAAATAATACAGCCCAAAATACCCCATCTGAAATTCTGAAATAAAAAGCCTCTGAAAACTAACATTTTGCAGTGATTGATTCAGTAGCAAAACCTGAACAGAACTGCCAGAGGGTGTTTTTAGTCTTTATTTTTCTCACTTAGAGTGAATATTCGTGCATTTTGAGGCAGCCATCTTAATGTTTGGTCATGGTGTTTTCTGTGACCTCACTGGGGTAACACTCCATAATTCCATGTGGACTCTATCCCATGTGTAACATCTGAAGGAGTCCCAATTCCAAAATTCACCTTGCTGCCAGGATTTCTGATAAGCTAGGGTGCCAGGATTTCTGATAAGGTAGGGTGGGTCTTTGAAAACAGTAACATTTATTGATCACTTGCTGTGTACTAGACTTTGGTTCAAGTCTTATGTTTGTTTATTTTATCCCCATAATAGTCTTCAGAGGAAAATATACGTATCATCTTTCCTGCTTTACAGTTGAGGCAACTGAGGTACAGAGAGGTCAGGGAACCCAGGGTTACAAGACAGTAACTCAGAAACATAAAATTTGAACCCAGGCCATCGGGATCTGGGAAGCTTTTGCTGAAATACTATACAGACTACCTCATTTATATTATTGTAATTGTTATCCTTACTTTATAGCTGAAAATTCTGAGGATTAAAGATTCACTAATTTAACCAAGATAAAGTGTCTGTGTGATCTCAAGCAAGTTACTTAATCTCTCTGGGCCTCAGTTTTCCATTCTGTAAAATGAAGGTAATGATAATCTATACTGCATTGCTGTGGGGATTAAATGAGTTTAAAGCAATGAGAGCAGTGCCTGACATACCTCATGTAATCTATGCATCTTAGATCTTACTATTTTTTACAACTAGGCCATGTGGATGCTAGGAGAAAAGAGAAGGATATGATGGAAGTCAATCCTCATGCAAAGATTTACTATAGAAAAGGTAAAAAAATAATATTTTTCAGGTATTAAATCAGTGTTTTCTTTATTTTTTGTTCCTTAGTCTTTAGGTGTGTAGTGGCTGCCTGATTTGTTGAATCAGTCAATCACCTGGTGAATGGCATGTATTGATTCAGGGTAAGGGCAGATACAGAACAAACAGGTCTTTTATTCTTCTCTGAGTCCCCAGGCTGACATTTTTTTAATCGATTGCAAGACTCTAGTCATAAAGCCACTCTTTGTTAAAGAACAAAAGTGTTTTATAAATCTCCCATATTTCCCTTTACATTCAAAAGTGTGGGCTTGGTCCTTTCAAGTCTTAGAGTATTATATTTACATGATGCTAAAGCATAAAGAGAACAGAGACTATATTGCAGGGGAAGTTTCTTTA